CAGTGAAATATATTTATGTTTGTGGTTGTAATGTGACAAAATATGGAAAAGTTCAAGGGGTATGAATACTTTTGCAAACCACTGTATTTTTAGTTTTATAATGTCACCCTCACTGACGAAAAGGCCCCAATTCAACAAACTTGAAGTGGCCCACAGGCCACCAGTTGATAATCACAGTTGTTGCATGTTTTGCGGCTCCGGACACATTTTGCAGCATAGTCTCTTGTTTGTAAACCTTTTTTGTCTGAGCTCCACAAGTAAATTATGACAAACTTTTATCTAACATTTCCTCACTTCAATGGACTGAAACTCCCTTAAAACCACTAGACCTAAAAATGTATGTTTTTCAAAAAATTCCAAGTGATTGCAACATTCGGTCACACATTCCCAGCCCCACTTACCACTCCTCCTCTGTCCCCCTCCATAAACTGGACAATGCGAGCAGAGTTCTTGTCCCACAGGTAGATGTGACCGCAGTCACTGCCGCTGACCACAAACTCGCTGCATGGACCGTAGAAGTTCACACCCTTTACTGAAAAAACAGCAGAGTCCGAGTTAACAAAAACTCAAAATGACACTATTATTAATCTAAAGTCTGCAGAGTAAGGGCCTTACCTGTGGCATTATTGCGATGTCCCTTATATCTCCTGCGATAGTCTGCCCCATCACTGTGGTTTGCATCAAACAGGTAGATGTCTTCATCATTATAAGTAGCAAGGAGTTCTAAAAAGACAGAAAGCATGAAACGGGTTTTAAAATTTCCCTTTAGCGCCATGAAGCCAGAAATTGTCCTGGACATTCAACTATTAGACAGCTGAGCTTATTGAGGGACATCGATTTGACTCACTGACATAAGAGGGGGAAAAGGCTGAAATTTTAAATCGATACACAAAGTAAACATCATCTAGAGATCTCACAGTTTTCAACATCCTCTAAAACCTGCCACCAACTGTGGAAGTGAACACACCTGTGCCGTTGTGGCTGTACACAAGACAGGTTATGTTCGTTTTCGACTCGCTGGAAACCAGATGTGAGGGACAAAACTTTTTCAGTACGCCGTTGTTCTCATTTTCATCAATCTTCCTCTGGTCGTAGATCCTGAAGAAAGCAAGATAAAACAAAAGTGATTAAAAAAAAAACATTCAAATGCCACACGCTTGGTTTTACACAGAAACTGCAGCAGAGTTCATACCTTACATACTGATCTCTCCCACCTACAGCAAACTGGTGTGTTTTGGCTGGGTTGACAAAGATAGTGTATAGACCAACTTTTTTTTCTCCTTCCTTCACAACCACCAGTTTACTGTCATAAAGAAAAACAAAATACTTTAAGAGTTTAAATTGAAGAAAACATAAAAACACAAGAAAACAACGATGGTATAAATAGGTATTTTCTAATATCTAGAAATGGCAAAAGGAGAACTATAACGAAGAGGAGTTTAAAAACCCTGTTAGTCATTTTGAGTTTGGGGAAATACTTAAGCTCAAACTATAAAAAGCTAAATTGTCAGCATTAACTTTTCCTTTAGCTCATTCAGTTTGTCAAAAATAAAAAAAAGGATGTTATCAAAAATACGTTCAAAATAAATGCACCATATGAAACGGAACAGTTTAGTAGGGGTGCAACAGTACATGTACCTGTATCGAATCGTATCGAACAGTACTTTAGGTTCAATACACACTTGTATCGAACAATACAGATTTTTAAAATTAATTTCATCAACTTGTCTTCTGAAGATGCTCTGTGTTGAAGGATCAGTGGATCTGTGTTCGACTACTCCACCTAGGCTGCATTTTTGAGCACAGATCCACTGAGAAACTTGCTGTTTCAGCAACATTTAATTTAAAACTGTACTTTTGAGGTTAAACAACTGTTCATAATTAATTTAAATAAATTACAAGTTAAAACGGGCATGGAAATTTCTCTTTTTTGTATCGAGAAAATATCGAACCGTGAGACTAAAGTATCGAACCGAATCGTGAATTTTCTATATCGTTGCACCCCTACTGTTTAGATATGTGACAATTGCATGAGTGAATGAGGAAAAAGAAATGGCAGCTGCATTTGTTTCATCAAAGATAATTATGAAACAACAAAGTTAAATTTAATATGTGTGCCTGAATGCACAGAATCCTTTGAGTCTGCCAAAATAACAATATACAAAGTAAATTTCTGATAAAAATGTACTTTTTAACTAGGTTTTATAATGATTTTAGCATGAAAACTTGACTCAAATAAAGCTTTAAAGGAAACATGCTTTTAAATCCCTTTTCACATTTAAATCATTCAGTTGGGGTCTATATCAGGTGGTTTGGTCTGAGCTCCTCCTTATTGTAACTCCACAAGCCTCTCTCTTTTCTGAAGTGTCTCATATCAACTCGTTTTAAGGCTGTCTCTTTAAATCCAAACGAGGCGCTTCACTCCCCGCCCCCTTCCACCTCTAGAGCGGTGCATTCTAGTTTGATAGAGTTTTTTTTAATATTATTAAAAAAGGATGATTTATTTCTGACCACAAGTTTTGCCCTACATAGACCCAACATGAAAGGACTTACTTGGCAGGACGATCCATACGCAGGTCGATACCAAACACCACAGCGTCTTCTCCAGCTGACAGAAACGAACAGGGCGAGTCTGGGTCCAGAGCCAGCTGATTAAAATAATAATAATAATCTCATGAGAGACTATACAGTAATGTGCAAAAGTCTTGAGCTACCCCTCATTTTTTTAAAAATTCATTGAACACATTTTCTAATTTTTGAGCAAACACGCTCACCTTGTGCGCCGCTCCTTTATGCTGCGCCACCCGCTTTGTGTTCTTGCACCGCTGCGTGGCAGAGAGCTCAGCCACCCTGATCTGACCGTCACGGGCGCACATGGCCAAGGTGGAGTCCCCACTGTGAGGCAGAAACTTTGCCTGTGGAAACCAAGTTCACAGAGAATACTTATCTTGCAAAACACATTTTCATTCTCTGTTTTCAGTTTTTATCATTTTGGATTTTAAAATAAAAACAATTTCTTCATCTCCTGTTTTTTTCCAATTCTAGTTGCAAAGATTTTATAAAGCATAAATGGGGAAAAAGGACTTATTTGCCCCAGGTTCTAAGGATTTTTCATTGCCAAAACATTACATATTTTATTTGCCCATTTATCAGGTAGAGGGAGATTTGATATATAAAGTTTAGTATCTTCATTTTTTTTCCTTGATCACCGTAATTGACAAAAACTTAACTCTAGGAAAAGAATTCTTAAAATAATCATCACTACCTGGAAGACATTACTCTTGTGTCCGCTGTCAAACTCCAGCTCGGCACGGCGGACGGCCCAGTCCCAGATCACCACTCGCAGGTCGTCGCTGCCCGATGCCAAGCGTGTGCCAGACGGGTTGAAGTGCAACGTGTTGACACAACCCGTGTGCCTCTCCAGGCGCCCCTGGAGCTCCAGCCTCTGCACGAGGCCACGGGAGCCACACACGCGCCTGACGAACTGGTGGGAGTTCCGACCGATCTCCCTGGAGCGCAGCGAGGGCACGGCCTGCCACACGGGGCCACGCAGGTCGTGGAGCTCTGCTCCCAGCCAGGACTCCATAGCCTCTTCGTCATCCTCGTCGTCGTCATACTTTTGATCCCCTTCGTCATCGTCGTCGTCGTCGTCATCCTCCGAGCTAGAGGAGTGGTTGGTGCCACCGCCGGGTCTGTTTCTCTTCCGAGCTGCCCTTTTCGCACCATCTTTCTCTTTGGCTCTCTCACTCTCTCTGTCACCATCCTCAGTTAAAGAAAACAGTCCACTGCCATCCATGCTGTCTGTATCTTCGTCCTCATCTTCCCCTCTGTTTGTCCCCCTTTCCCCTTCCACATCTGGCATAGGTTTGTCTCCAGATGTCTCTGTTGTTTCTTTGGGAGCTGAAAATTAAGAGGAAATGGCAAAATGTTAATTTCGGGACAGTAAAGATACACGGAGGAAAACATTGAAATTAAAATATGCAAGGGATAAAAATACAATTCACTGCATCATGATTTTTATAAAGCCTTTAATAATAATTAAATACTATATTTTAAAATAAAGCTTGGTTTTAACAGTTTCACACAATCCTGGTAACAATTTGATCAACAAAAAGAAGTTTACCGTCTTCAGAGGAAGACTGTGTTTGTCCCTCTTTGCTTCCAGAAGCATCCTCCTCTTTGTGTTGATCTTCTCCAGGCTCCTTGTCTTCGGAGCCACCTAATAAACCCAAACATTCTTGATGACGAGCTCTCAAATATATATAAAAAAATACTATGAAACTTTTACAGCTACATTATCTAGCACTGAAACTTTACCATTAAGCACAGGGGATTTGCCGTCATTCTCTGCCATTCTTCTGTCGCTTAGTCCTGCGTCGTCCCAAAGTAGAAACTACAAGGTTGTTTTTTTACACACACACACACACACACACACACACACACACACACACACACACACACACACACACACNCACACACACACACACACACACACACACACACACACACACAAAGAAGTTCACTTATTGGCCAACCACACGAGCAAAACAAAGTGACCTGACATAAACTGCGCAGTGTAGAACAGCTAGGTAACCTAGCTGTTAAACTAGCTGTCAGGCTAATAATATGATATTTACATCGCAGTTTCTAAAGTCGTAAAATAACTCTCCTGTTGGCCGATTCAGTGGCCCCACAGTCTTATTTGTGGTGTCCAAAACTGTCCTCTGCAAAACTGCGTCTGCTCAATTACGCGACGCTGGTTTTATAGAGTTAAAGCTACCTAGCATACCATGTGTAGCTAACAATAACAAAAAAAACGAAACTAAAACACACACAGCTGTTTAGTTCTGCTAAACAAGCTGCTTTTCTAAATACACACAAGTGTTGTTTTCGATTGCTAACTAGCAAGGCTAGCGTTACCTCTACTCGAAGGCCCGACGAGGCGTACTTCTTAGTTTAGTCCTAATCTTTATTGCAGATTTGTTTCCCCCACCTCACCGCTCAGCGAACGAGCTAAGTGCCTCAACTAGGACTTCTCTGACGGGAAACACTCGACATGGGCACGGCGTGCATGAAGCTTTTTGTTGTTTTCTTTGTAAAAAGTACAATCCGAGCTAGCTGCGCTCACTCACACAAGGTTGTCTGCTCTGTTTATGTTTTGACGGTCCGTCTTTTTTTTTTTTTTGGTTCTATTTCCGGTGTGTAGAGCTCGCCCGTTTTGCGCATTTATTTATTTATATTTTCAACCGGAAGTTCGCAAAATGCAACAACAACAATAATAAAAGTAATATTAAAATTATTATTAACATTTTTCGTATTGGTTTAATCCTTAATTTCATTCATATTTGAAACAAAAAAGTCAAACAGCAAAATAAAACTAAATGAAAAATTTAACATTAATATTAGAAAAAAAAATTCTACACTCTAGCTAAATAAATTGAGCAAAACACTAGCCAAAAAAATGTTAAAATGCTAGCTAAAAGGCAAAAAGTAGCAAAAGACTAACTAAAAGTAGCAAAAAGATACAAGACAGTAACAACTAATGTAATGGTTAAAAGTAGCTAAGGCTATATAGCTAAAGTATATAATACACAAGCTAAATGTAGCTAAAGGCTAGCTAAAAGCTTAAAATAGCCAAAATGCTGAAGCTAAAGTAGGCTTGGAAGGCAAAAATAGTACAATGAACAACAAATTTCAAAGGATAAAACAATGTTTTTGAAGGAACTGAAGAGATATGAGCACATTTTGTTTAAAAAATACAGCAAATTCATGTACAAGTATAAAAAGTTACAAAACCAAAATACACAACACCAACTTATTTTGAAAGTTTGGACTTATTGATCTGTTTTGGTTTAGTTGTTTGTTTGGACCAGTTTGAATCAGGAGATCCTCCTTTTCACTTGAAACGTTTATCTTCACTTGTAAAACGTGAAAGGAGCCACAAGTGCACTGAAAATATCACAAGGAAACAAAATTAAATTAAAAATAGTTTGAACTGTAAGATCATACACTTCAGCAGGATGTGGTCAAAGGTTGCACCTCGTTTGTAATTGGGCTTTAATGGTAGAGATTCCCAAACAACCTTTATTAATCATAATTATTAAAACAATTAACATGTAATCAGCTAAGGATTTGTTAGACAGACGACTAGAAGGCCAGTTAAATTACCAGTTCAGCTGGTGAACAAAGTCTCATTTACTTCAGAATTTGCATCACCTATATGCAGAGTAAAGATGCAAACAAATAAATGTATATAGATGCTTGTTTTATTATTTTATCGTTTCTTACATTCCTAAGTTTATTTTTTAAAAGTTTTCAGCATAGCCTTTGTGCACAATGAAGTTCATGAACCTGATCGGAGTCTCCAGAAACATCTGGCTGTCTGACTTCAGCTGTGACGTGACGACCCTTTGGCTTCCTTCCTGTGTTTATATCAGAGGCTCTTCAGCAGTGACTGCTGCTGGACGATGACTTTCTCTGTTAGATATCTTTATCCCTCGCCATCTCATGACAGTCAAACATAAAGATGACAGCTTCCCAGAAAACATGCCGCAAAGATTAGTCACCTTCATGGGATATTAGTAGGCCTAATGAATGAGAAACTAGGAGGGAACCATTTCCTTTGCACATACCAAAATCTGTGCTAAATGCACCACAATGTTCTTATATTGATGGCTTATTTCACCTTGAATTAAAAATTTGTTAGCAAAATTTGTGCCATGATGCCACCTGGCATGTTTGTTTATACAGAAACAGCCAAAGTGACTGAAAATAGGTCAAACATTATTTGTACACAGAATAAGACCAGCCTAATAGGTCAGTCATGTGACTTGTCATGGTGGTCGAGCGGTCATGGAGGTGGGACCCACACGGGAACAATGATGAAAACTTAGATTGAACTCAGATGAAGTTTTTTTTTTAATGGTGGCACCAGCCCACAAATGAATCACCAAACATTTCATTACATTGGTTTGTTTACAGGTGGATCTATATTGGGGGAAAAACCATTTCCAGGGGAAAAGAAAATAAGACAACCTGCAAAAAATACGAAAAATATAACTTAAATGCATGCATTAAATACAAATAAAATAACAATACAAATATTTACAAACAAATAAACTGAATATGGTTCATTTGAATCCAATAATTACTTTAGACTTAACATAAAAAGTACTGTTTTGCCAAAACACCCCCCATTTAACCATTACTGTTATGGTACGGTCCCAGAACCAATAAGTAATGCCCAAACCCCCAGGGAATATTTTGTCTGTGCACACCTGTTGGAAAATAGACAATGACTGAGGTAAGTATCTGCAAACAATGAACATTATAGTTTAGTCATTTTAACTGATGCTTTGTTGTGATTACAATTTAAATCAACAACTTAAGGAAACACTGAAACACAAAAAAGGTAAAGCTACCAATTATTGTTTAAAAGAACGTCCATCATTAAACAGAGGTGGAGGCCTCCGTTTTCAGTTGTCCCCCTCTTACAGTGCAGCTATTGCCAGTATCACTCCACCCCCTGTTAACAATARGTGTTAATTAGGTGTCAACGATAGCCATGTGATGTGAGTATCAGTCACATGGAGGCAGTGCTTAAAAGCCTGAATTTTGCCTGAAACTCTCAGACTGAAGAAGTCTCTTGGAGGAGAGACGAAACGTTTCATTAGAGAAGAACCCGTCCAGAAGACCTATACAATTTTTTTCTTTTTGATTTTTTTACCTGGATTACTGAGATGCAACAGGACATAGTTTGTTTACCTTTACAAAAGGAATGTCAATAAGAGGCCTGCCAAAGTAAAACAGTTTAAACTCAATGACTGTGTTATTTAATTTATCAATGCAATTGTGTTTTTTACTGCCAATTAAACAACTTAAACATAAATGTAACAGTGACTCATTGTCACATGACTCCAGCTTCCAGCAGTTTTAGCAGATTCAGCCATGTGCTTTGTTTACATTGAGTGTGGACCTGCATTTCAATGTTGCACTAGATATATCTGGAAAGCCATGCTTAACTCTTAAAACGGCACTATTTGATAACATGTTTCATTTTTTTCATGTATGATTTCAGTTTTATATCTTTTAAAGGAGGTTATTGCCAACAAATTAGTGATATTTATTGCTTCCGGGTTGTGAGGAATCACAAACTGTTAAACTAAATATATCATTAAATATTGTTCTGATTTTAGAAATCGGATGAGATGTGCCTTTGCTTTTATCTTTATGTAAAAAAAACAACAACAAAGCATTGGACAATAATTTAGCAGCTTTCTGATGACAGTTAAAATAGTTTGTGTCTTGAAAGAAACAGTTTGCAGCACTTATTTTGGTAAATTCTGCAAGAGATGTTCAACACGACCTCGGCGAAAACACAGGAGGAGGAAGGGGAAGTTCAGTCAGACAGGGGGGTTTCACATCATGTGCGCAGGAGGGAGGCAGTTTTCATAAAGCTGCAGTCGTCCCCCCACCCACAGTCAGGCGGTGCTGGGGTCTGGAGCGCAGCGCGCAGCTCAGGGAGCGGCTTCTGCCATGACTTAAAACAAGCTCCAAGTTGGTACGTTTCTGCTCCCGGCCAGCTGTTCACATCTGCAGCGGAGATGGAGTACTGGAGGCAGTGTGCGGTGTGGCTGATCGGCTGCAACGTGCTGCCGGCGAACCACCGCGTCACGGCGGACACGGCGCAGGTGTTCGACCTGGCGCAGACCCTGCGGGACGGGGTCCTGCTGTGCCAGCTGCTCAACAACCTGCGACCCGACACCATCAACCTGAAGGAGATCAACCTCAGGCCGCAGATGTCACAGGTACACCTGTCAGCTCAAAAAAAGCTGCTCACGTTCAGGCGTTAATGCCAATTTAATGCGCATTATTATTATTTTTTGTTTATTTTTGCATAAACAAGTGGTTCTGTTCTGCACTAACCAATGACTCATGTCTGGTTTGTGAAGGATCAAGAAGATCAACAAAACAAACCCAAACTGAATTCCAGTTTGCAAGGTTCATGTTGGCACATGCATCTCCAGCAAAAAAAGTAACACTCATACACTGTTAAAGTTAAAAAGTCTATTTGGGATTTTCTTTCTTCCTCTGTTGCTGTGATTTTAGTTTTGACTCTTAAATTGTGAAGACTTATTGACACTAAAAACTGCTGGGTTTAAAGCAACACAGTTTGTAACTCAGCTGTGGGTAAACTTTGGCTTGAGCAGGTTTAAACCTAACTGGGTTGGGTAATCCGTTTGACCCATTTTGTTCAGTTTTCAACATTAAGTTGAAATTTGCTGAATTAGAGTTACTAAAATTTGAAGTTATAAAGAACAGTTCATTAGGTTGGAGCTAGTTAGCTGGTGCTAACCCGGGTTAGAGTCAGCTTACTGCACAAACTAATGTTATTTGAGGAACCTTATTTTCATCTTCTTGCAAGTTGTTTTAGCATCTCTCTGTAGCTGTACCAAACCCGAGGTCCAGTCAGTTTTGATATAAACTGTAAAACATGAGTCATTTAACCCAACTACTGGGGTTTAACATTTTGAACTAATAATTGGTAAAACCACAGCAGAGTGTTATCAAACTAACCCAGCAGTTTTTAGTGTGTATCAGAGTCCAGGAACTGCTTTTGCACTTTGCCAGAGTCACTAAAATCCATACAAAATAACTTCATTTATAATAATTAGGATAATTTAATTAAATAACATTTATAATAAGAAAAATACACTTTTAGTGCTTTCATTTTTTTATTTTAACTCCCCAAATTGCAAATTGAAGGTCTCACATGAGTCATGCTGGATTTCCCTCAGCCTGAGAAACTCAGTAACTCTTCTCGCCGCCACTGGAGAGATCTGATAAAATCCTGACTTTGATCCGCCCGTTGGTCAGGAAACTTACAATTTGGGATTGAAATTGAAGCCAAATAACTAACTAAAATAGTTGGACATTAGGTGACTTATTCTTTTCCCGTTTCCTCTAAAACAGCCTTTTAATATATTTTTTTCTTTTGTTTGGTTTCAATCACTTATTCCCAGAAATAATGTTCAGATGAACTAAAACAAAACAAAGGTAGATGTAACTGAAGCAGATGTGCGACAGGATGAGTAGTTGAGGCTTCCAAAATATTCACTAATAATTTCAAACGTCTGTTTGAGCAAGACTTCCTGTGCACCATGCGTGCACAAGAGATTATATCTTATGTGCTTTTTTTAAGAATTCGACAATCCCGTACTATTAAAGGACCCTCTGTTTGGACACAATTGAAGGACTAGATGTAAAATAACAAGTCTTCTTCAAAGATTCCTCCATTTAAAAAATGTTCACACAAACTGCCACACATAATGTTTTATTATAATTTTTTTGCCTTAATTTTTTTTAAGGGGGGAACTTTATGCTTGCATGATCAGATTAGTGTTTATGAATTGCAGTGGTCAGTCTGCTCCGTCAGTGGAGTCTTCTTGTCTTTTATCTTCTTTACATGAAAGCAAGTCTGGAGTATAACAGGCCAAACAATGGAGTCTCATGGCCTGCAGCTGTAGGCCATATGAGTACGACCAAGAAAGCCATGTGTGTCAGTGAGCTCCAGATTTGTAAGTGGCATTTTCATTGTCCCCTGCTAAGCTATGATCTTAATGGAAACAGGGGCTTGAAGGGAATAACTCAGAGGGCAGGAACGCAGCGTGCTTTTGCCAAAAACGTGGCATGTTCTGCCAAACATTTTGAACCTTGTTGCAAATTCCAATCTATAGATTATAAGTGAAATCGTGCCAACTATTTTATCTGCGTTTTGTCCCTGAAAGGACAATTTCTAGTATTTCTGATGCTGCTAAATTAAAAAAAAAGCTTAATCATGAAAATAAAATATACCAAGATGCAAGGTTTTCAGAGGTAATCCGAGTCCAGAGATGACATGCTTTGTTCTACCAATATGTGAAAAAGAAAGTGTGCGTCGGAGACGTGACTGGATTCAGAAGTAAGAGGCTGCTGCTGCTGGTGCTGCTGGTGCACAGCCATCATGTTCAGGCACTTCCTCTGCAGACTAACACGGCCCCAGGGGCCGATGGGGGCGATTACAGGCGTCTCCACGATGAGCTGATGAGATTAAAAAGTAGCCTATCTGTTTCTGAGAATCTGCATAAAACTCAGTTTTTGCTGCAATGTGTCACTTAATCACTATTTAGATAAGTCATTTAATATTTGTTTGAAAACTCACATAGGCATTTTTTTTTACAAGTCCAACTTCTACTGCAAATCCCAGCCCAACACCAGCGGCTTGTTGTCTGTCACAGACCTGTGTGTTTGTCACAGAGAAGTGACACCAGAACAGAAGGTGGAAGGTTTGGTTTCTCACGGCTAAACTTTTACATTTCACTTTCAGTTTTCAGGGCTTGCGCCTCACCTTCACTGTTTTAAACATAATGCTTGTATAGTATAGCAGCATTACTTTACTGATTGTAAACCCAAATGTAATGTTTTCTCTTCTAATTGGTTTGTTGGTCTGTGTTCAAACAGATGCTCTGATTTTAATTGCAAGAATTTGTTTTTTTTTAAAGTTCAGTTTGTTTTTGTTAGTCACAAAGTTAAATAAGCCTCAGTTTACTGGACTGTTGTAAGTGCTTATCAGAATCTAAGTTTTTAATGAATTCAAGTTTTTATTATGTTTTGGTTTTGGAGCATGATCATTTATGTGTTTGTGCTTACATACATATTAGCATTTATTTGAAAACGAAGTATTCTGTATGCAGTGGTGGGCACAGTTCCCCTAAAGCACAAAAGCACTAATAAGGGAACTAATTTCTTGATTAGTGCTTTAGGGATTTTGCTATTTTTAAAAATTCATTAGTGGATTAGCACTTGCTAAATTTATAGGCTAAATTTAGAAGCACTAACTGAAGTCTTTAAATGTTATTTATCAACATTATTGTTTACAGTTGAAGGTGAAAGCTGTCAAACATTTTGTTCATTTTTGCGTGCCACTTATCTACAAGGTTACATGTCAAATCAAGGCCAGCGGGCCAAATGTGGCCTGTGGGTGACTCCAATTTGGCCCACCAAGGGCAGTAAGTGACAATATTCTGCACACAGTAAACATTGTCTCATGTTGACTTTGAGGAATTTTTCATGTGTCAGCTGGATTATATTAGTGCTTTAGAATTAGCTTTTGCTAAAATTTTCAGTGTGTTAGTGCTTTAGAATTAGGGGACCTAAATATTTGAGTTAGTGCTTTAGGGTTAGTGCAACTAATATTTAGATTAGTGCTGCCCACCACTGTGGCAATACAAATGCAAACATGCTTTTATTAGCATTACCATTGAATATAGTTTGCATTTTGTATAATTTTTATTCTAAGAGACGTCGTCTTTGATCATAGATGTATTTTTGATGTTCTGTTTCTCCTTCCTACACACAGCTGTGGGAACGTGCTTCACTTGTGGTGTGCTGAGATAAAAGTAACGACACAAAGAAACAAAACTGCACTTCTGACCAAAACTGTTGACAAAATAAAACTATGTGAAATAATTGTGTTTTAAGCTGTTTTAACTCATTAATATCAAAGTAGGATGAAAATTTAAATATTTTCTTTCTTTCTTTCTTTCTTTCTTTCTTTCTTTCTTTCTTTCTTTCTTTCTTTCTTTCTTTCTTT